GTGTCAGCTCATTCAACTTCAACTTCCTCCAAGCAATAGAAGTTGCATCTGGTTCACCTATCATCAAAACATACACAGCATGTACATTGTACCTTCATGTAGCATTCACATTTGTTATATTTTAATCAATTAATTATGACATTTCTGGTTGATTATGTGGCTAAGTTGTGGCCATGATGGGCAATGACGAAGAAAATCCACAACTTTTCATTGGCTCTCCCAGTCAAAGTGCTCTTGTGGATGTCCACCTCTTGTAAGGGACTTCAACCATTTCTGGGGAACACTTTTCAAACAATGGTAACAGTTTGTAGACAGAACAAATATTCACCGTGAAGTAGAGTTCTTAATTCCAAAATTAACACAGTTTTCTTAATCCAGGGTGCAAAGAAAGTCAGTTTCACAGCTTGCAAGCTGTAGCTAACATGTACTAGCCCAAAAATCATTTCAACCTGCCCAAAATTTTTTGATGAGCAGGATTCATTACAATTCTTCTATAATTTGAATTCCCCGAAAAACCTCACTTGCAGTTGCCCATTCGGGCAAGTTAAGAACAGAATTTAGAAGCCCGACAGCAAAATCCACTAGCCTTGGGCTATCGGACACTACTTTCTTTGCATGCTGCTTAATCGAAACAACGATTGCTACGTCTGACAAGAAGTTGGAGACCCACAATATGAAATGGAGCAAATATAAATCAGATTAGCATACGATTCTTTTCTTTCTTTGTTCTGGCGAGCAAAAATAAAACCATGAGGGCCAGCTGGCCCCAAGATTTGAATCGAGCAGTGCTGTGACAATTCAAGTTACTTTTCAGTACTTTATTCTGTGCAAGCTATTGACTCACAATAAATTTTTGTCTGGTTGGATGAGTGCTTTATGAGTTTCAGTTGTCCGAGGCCAAAATCTACTCGTCTCAGATCAGCAGAAGAGTGAAAGTTTTTTGCCTGTCCTTGTCATGAAATGTTTCCTTAAGCATCACGGGGCTCAAATCTCCTTTAAAATTCGTAACAGGCGCTTTGAACCCTTAAATGCACAAGAAAAAGATTTAACAACAGTTTAAAAATTTCAGAATTTACAGGGAGTTGTATGGAAAACCACTCAAGCGTGACTGGGTGGCAATAGTTGTTTTCCTCATACAAATCCTTCTAATTTTCAGCAGCCGTTGCAATCACTACTTTTGAGATATATGGCTGAAAATTTACAGGTTACCTAATTTTAACATGCTCTTTCAGGCTGTGCCAGCAAATTTTTCAAAAGTGAACTGTTTTTGTGTTTACTGAAAATTGATCGCGTGATCAACTAATGCAGAAGGCCTATTTTTCTTCTGCTTTCCTACAAAAGTAGCCAGGGCCACATTTCTAGTAGCCGGCAGAAATCCTCATCCCACGCCCCTTAAAACAGCCCTGTAAACATGTCAGACCTGTTAATGACAGAGAACTCATGTGTCTGGCTCTTATAAGCAGCTAACAAGTCTTGACATTTTGGATGGACACTTACAGGGCTATTAATAAAGGCCAGTAACAGTCAAAACTGCCAGCTAGTTAGCCATCTTTCGGTGGCTACCCTCATCTCCTACCATAAGTACTAATGAAAATATAAAGCACCATCAAATAAATTTGAGAAGCATCCTTTTCCCAGTTTAGAGTGGCACTGAATGCATATTTTAACAGGATTCAAGTTTGAACTTTGTGAACATGGTGAAACGCCTGGGACATTTCAAGTCTAGTTACCAGTCTTGTGTGTAAACTGACTAAACAACATGGTGTCAGTGCCAAAGAGGCAACCGTTGCTTAGCACAATAAATTATGATACCCTGGAAGTGCCACTTTCAAGAGTAAAAATTGAAGACTCAGTTTAATTTGTACTTAATATTCCAATTATGGACACTTACAGACACATCCGATGATTCTCTCATCATATATAGACAGAACTACTGTAGGGTTGTCTTTGGTTCCTGGAGGACCTCGTTGTGGCTTCATGTTGAAAGGATCCTACAATAAATTATTAACAACATGGTTATTGACTTAGTTAAATAATTACTAACTGTCAACAGTTTTGAAGCCACAACCTACACTAAAGCAGTGGTGAACAAGTTGGAAGACATAAATGACAGTTAAAAACAAAGAAAACACAGTTAATTAACCCATTCGCCAGTGAACTGCCCATAACCGCCCGTGTACGACAACCGCCGAATTCCCTGAACCGCCTGTAACTGCCCGTAAAAATGGCTGCTGGATTCAGTCCATTCCCCTCTCCTCCCAGGTGTTTTTTTGTCTTTTGTTTTCACAGAGTGATTGATGGATAATAAACCAATCATTTGCCATCTTTTGCACATTTTTTGACAGATGATGAGAAGCACCACAGGGACTGGTTTTTCGAAGAGCACGAGTAAAAGAAATTCGTGAGAGTAATGGCCGCCCGTGTCGATTTCAAATCAAAGTTCGCATCACGTTTGAGTGAATATAGAGATAATTCCACTCTTGATCACTTCGGGTTGTTGAACAGACCTTGTGAAAAACCTTCTGATTGAGAGTTAAATGATCTTAAGACTGAAAAAGACAATCCTAGCCCTCAAATTGCTGAGCGCTTCGTAGGCAAACAAACCGCATGGACTATCGATGAAAACTTACCTTGTTCATTTCATTTACTTGCATCCAAGTACCGTGTTCCTAGCAGCGAATGTTTTAAATGTAACTGTTTCTTGAACTGCTGGAGGTGATGCTTTTGTGGAGTTAAAAGTTTGAACAAGGAAACGGATTATGTGCAACGATCGATTTGGATTGACAATCCCCATGAATAAAATTTACTTCACATCGCGTGGAAGCTCACGGAGAATAAACGGTAACCGTCTTTTTATTCAATTATTTACAGTTGCCAAATGATGCTTTTTGTGTGCTTATTTTCTTTGTGTATAACGATTAACACCTATCGATCTGTGCATTGGTAGATAAAGCATTAATAAAGCAAGTTTGGCATTTAACTTTTTTGTGCTTTACTTTGTTGATCGACATGATCAGGGAGGCACTTCAGTTCAGGATATCAAATATGCTTCCCTGAAAGATTGCGGCTTTGCCACCTTCTCTGGCGAATGTGATCATTTATTTTATTGTTGAAATTCAAGAATCGAAAAATATATGAAAGAGTGGGAAGCTGAAGTCCAGCATTCCCTTGTTTTATTAAACTTTCCCATGCTTGATGATGAGGGAACTCTTCAGATCGCTTTTGGTGAAGTGATCATCACCGAAGTTTCACTACATTTTTCTACGGTGCTTCTGAACTGGACTGATCTGAAAGAGAACTTAACGAAACAACTTTCAGTAAAATGACTTTACAGTGTTGTTCATGTTTTATCAACTGTGTTTATTCCTTTAAGAGCGTTTTTGTTCCCCGTTTCACCGTTGATTTATCAGTGCAATTATCGCGCGGCGAAGAAATTTTGTTGAAATTCATTGTTTTCGCCTCTTTCCACAGCTTTTTCCCCTGGCTGCCCATTAACTCATCTAAAAGAAAAAGTTTGTTTGAAAGCCAGAGTTTATCTCTGGTTTTACTGCACATATGGTTTATTCTAGGCGCTCGCGTACGCTTATTTTCTACCGAAAATTGCCAGGGAATTGGGGGGTTGTCGCACGTAAAAGTCCCAGGAGTGAATGGGTTAATTCAGGCTAACTAACTCAACAAAAGGAAAAGCATTCCAGTATGACTCAAGATAAGCAGCACTTTTGCTGTGACCCCCTTTTTTAAGATCACGCTCTATGATTTTCAATCTACTGATGAATTAGACTAATTAATTCACTTTGATTTAGTACTATTTTACCTCAATCCCAGCTGCCATAGCCTCATACTCCTTTCTCTCCAAACCAGTGGCTTGCTCTGCATCAGTGGGAATACGACCAAGTCTGGTACCTGTTATATGTGGCACAAACACTGCTTTATTATAGATAGATGCATATACATATTGCTGGTAGATTTTCCTGCTATTTGCAGGCACTAGGAATGTTGAAGTTGCCCTTTGAGAAGATATATGTACCCTTTGATTTTTGTAGATAAGTCATGACTAGATAAGTTCCATGTTATCAAGGAACAGTGAAGGCCTCCAACGAGTAGGATTTGATGAAATTTACCTGAACATCTTTACAGTTCTGGAAGCTCTCTAAATGGATGATTTCATAAGCAAACAGCTCTACTTATGGCCACCTTCACAAAACCCTGTTTCAACTGTCACACAAACTGTCTATTTTTACATTCCCATAAGCAGAAAATTCCTGTAGGTGACCAAGGACTCTTTCAGCGTTTACAAGTTAGATTTCAGCTTTGTTTTCAAGGCAAGGTTATTGATTCTCTTACAGGTGTAATAAAGGAACATTAGCGCAGTAAATTGCACATTATTGCAGTTTGCAGGAGTACCAATATTAATCATTGTACATGCACAAGACCAAAAGAAGTAGGAAAAGTTTAACTTCCTGATCAAGCTTACATACCAAGCCAAATTAATAACTGAGATACAATTTTGAAAGGAGAACAGCAAAACATTGCATGGGACATGTTTCCAAGGAAACTTGATTGTGATCATGACAATCAAATTGAGCTACTTGTCTGGCCAAAGTTTATAAATACTAATTGTTAAAGTTTAAATTAATATTACTTTCAACCTCAGGAAACCGTGAACATCTTTAATATTTCAGGAATGTTGATTGCAAAGTAACCAATCACAACAAAGATAAGGACATTCAAGCAAGCAACAAAACCTCAAACTAACAACCATTGCTGTTTTTCACACCTGATTGGCTTTTTCCTTGAATAGCACAAAAATATTCCAGTGATATTTCTAGTACTCAAGGTGTTCTATCTTTCAAGGTAAAAAACTTCCTTTTAATATTAACATAAACTTTCCTATCCACGAAAACTTGATCAAAGTTTATACTTTCTGCTTCTGATCGGCTTCTTCAATCTTGGACAAAACTGTTGAGAAAATTGCATATTTGCGGGCATTTTTTCTGAACTTCGTAGCCGACCGATTCTTCCCTCCCCCCCTCCCCCTGGAAGCAATGTTGTTGGGTCTTCTAAAGAAAGCCGGATCCCTAAGCATTTCTAGGAAGCAACTTTGAATTGGGGGAGGGGGTATTCTTTACGCAAAGCCGTTGATTTGGAAACAGTTTTGTTGCGTTAGGTAGTGTGCATTAATGAAAACATTTTCTCAAGTAGTTTTGTCCAGGATTGTATTTGACCGAAAAGTCGATTTTGAGCATTTATCATGGGGACATAAATCTGTTCTTCATATATTTCGTACATTTCACAGAGAAGTAGATAACTAATGGCAATTAAGTCACAACAGAGGAGTTGATGACAAGAAAATCAATTTGTCTGTCTTTTCTTGATTCAAGTAGCCAATCGTGAACGCTTGTGAATTTCATTTTCCATGCAGGGTTTTTTACGCCGCTTTGAGTGCAGAGGAGCAGGCATACATTACGCTTTTTGGCGGACGAGAAGGACGCCTCCGTCAAGGAGATTAGCCACAAAACGGAATTTCACCGCTATGATTCGACCAACAAATAACACATGAAAGTTTTGCTGAATTTTCAGAGCGCGTGACCCATACTTTGAACAATTTTCCCATCGCCGAAATAGATAAAACAATCAAAGTCAATGAACAAGCGCTTGCCATTAATAACAGCATCAAATGGAGACAGGATTAAATATTAACAAAACTTGTATTTTTACTCTCCCAATTTGAAAGCTTACTTTTTGACATTGTAGCGATGTCCAGTGCAAAAAATCACACTATGAAATCTAGAAATGTCACGCGCGGTAACGTGACAAGATGTACTATCGTGTGACTGTAAGAGTGCATGTTTTGCCCTAGGGCTATTTATAGCTACATATGACTGGAAGAAACTATGAGATAAATTCATCATTTGTAAAGCAAGAGATAGTAAAAATTGCCACAGTTGTCTTCTAATCTCTTTCTCTCCACAATATCTAAGATTCGGAACGATTAACAGGGCATTTTTAAAGTGCTACCAAGATTAGCAACGGTTAACAACGGTTAACAAGGACGTTTCATAAGAATTCAGAAGATCATTTACTTTTCAAAACGAAATGGTGTTAACCGTTTCAATGCTTTGTTAATCGTAATATTATTCTATCCATGGAATTATCATAAAAAGTTAACCGACTTGTCGCGAACGAGGTTTCTGTAACCCTCATAGTTAAGCCAATTTTAAGATCTGAGAAGCGGTTTCCACGTGTCGGGATACGTTTCCATATTGGCTTCACTATACGCCACTAAATAAACACTACGAACTTCATTTCTTCTAAGAAAACCGTCATCCAAGTCTTGTTCCGACTCTTCTGAAAACTATAAATCACTTTCCAGACTTTCCAAGCCTGCCAGGTTTAAACAACATGAAAACATGTAACATTGAGCACGCGTTCTACGGATACTGCAAAATCTTACTGTTTTAAGAGGGTGCAGCAAAAAACGTATATGAGGTGGTACTTTTCTATGAGAAGATGGTGTGCCGTGAAACTTTGTGCTCAAAACAGCTTCTGTAAAGTGCTTTTTATTGGTAGGTTTTCGTTTTGTCCATTTTAATATTCTTGCTTAAAAACGCGAATCACCTTACATACAATCTTGGACAAAACTGTTGAGAAAATTGCATATTTGCGGGCATTTTTTCTGAACTTCGTAGCCGACCGATTCTTCCCTCCCCCCCTCCCCCTGGAAGCAATGTTGTTGGGTCTTCTAAAGAAAGCCGGATCCCTAAGCATTTCTAGGAAGCAACTTTGAATTGGGGGAGGGGGTATTCTTTACGCAAAGCCGTTGATTTGGAAACAGTTTTGTTGCGTTAGGTAGTGTGCATTAATGAAAACATTTTCTCAAGTAGTTTTGTCCAGGATTGTTGCTAAACTTCCCCATGACAGAAAGGTGCAAATTATGCATCAACCAAAACTTGCACCTAAAACTTCAACGCAGAGCGTTTTCAGATCATGTTCATTTTCAATTTTGGTCTTTTTTAAAAATTAAAATTGAGGTTTCTTTCGCTTTCTTGCCACAAATTTAAGAATAGCAATCTCACCAACTCTATATCAGATTACGTCCGCTTACAAATCTACACGAAGTTACGCATGACTTCCTTCATGTACAAATACTGTACTTTGGCTTACCGTTATTTTAAGCATGGCAACTTATAAATCGATCGCTTTTACGCCAAGGGACGGCAATGAAACTTAAAATATCGGAAGAACTTAATTTTGTTGTACTTAGAGTACCACCAGTTTACTTTCTTAGAAAAAAAAAAAAGATCAATACCGTAGCAATGCAATATGACCACCCGGCTTTGCAAGGCCAAGGCGAATCAACTCCTTATCTTTCATTTCCCACTAGACAGTTTACTACAAGAATCTAAGATTTAGCTCACTTGTTACAGAGATTCCTCTAGAAAGAACCACTGGGCTTGTTCTAGTGATTATCGCTCTCAAAGCAGGTTGCATGGTCGACAATTTCCCTTTTGCCAATACACGGAGAGAAGCCGCCATCTTTCCTCTTTTAGATTCTATATCCCGGATCTCGTTCCAGTCTCTCTCTTTCTCACAGGGAAAGCACTGGGGATGAGTTGCCGTCCGAGAGCAAACGAAACGAAAACGAGCGAACGAAATGGTTAGAGAGAAGGTTTCGTCCGTTGTATTTCAGATTTTCTTTTGTTTTTGTCTTTTTCAAGGAACTGCTGGTGATTCAAGTTCACAAACAGATACTAACACCATAGTAGGAAAGCCTAAACTTGGTAAGAAAGGCAACAATATCTATCGATCTTGAGCTCACTTTATAGGTTTTGCTGGGTACTTTATTTCATCGACGCCATTTATTTTTTTTGTCTAAGCATGGCAAGGCCCCTTATCAACAGCCTCATCCTAAAAACGAGCTGTAAAATTTATGTACAGGGTAAGAGTTCCGTACAACCTCCGGGAGGGGAGGTTTTGGGTATAGATGAGCCGCTAAAGGTTTGAAACCCTGATCCCGTTTAGGACAAAAAATTCCCAAACCACATACCCTGTTTAGGACAACACCCTCAATTGTATTACCCTGTTTAGAGCAAAGGACAAAATGCATCCCATCTTGTTTTAAAGCCATTTATTGGCAATTGCAGTAGAGCAAATTCATGTCATTGTTATTGCTTTTGAATACTTGGAGTACAAACAATTCATCTAGCAGGGCTCAAAGTTTAAATTTGAGTTTGGGAGCACTTGTGCTACCAGATGTAAATTTTAGGCACACTGCCAAAATTTTAGGAGCACAGCTTATAATGTTGGGAGCATCTATTTCAAAAGAAAAAGTAAAAAGCTTAACAGTCCCACGTTTATTTGTCATCTTCAGTTTGTTACTTTTACTTCAGACCTGTGATTAATAAAACACAGCCGATTTGCTACGCAGTAATACCGCTGTGATTTTTAATACTAATTTCTCTTTTTGACAATACAGTTGTGACTAAAGAAAACTTGCACTTGAAAAACAATTCAAAACTGACAACAATGAGTGTGTCAAATGAGAATGAAAATTAATCTTTAATGAATTTGTTAAATGTGCAATGACTTACATGTAACTGGGATATGACTTAATTAAGCAATAGAAAACGTTTTCTGTGTTTGCCTAGCCTGATATAAACACGAGAGGGGTTGGGAGAATTCAAGACAGTTATGCAAACCCGAGACGAAGTCGAGGGTTTGCATAACTGTCGAGAATTCTCCCAGCGCGTCGAGTGTTTATATCAGGCTATGCAAACACAGGAAAAAAGTTTTCAATTGCTTTTATAAAATAACTTTCCCAAGAAAAAACGCAAAACTCTTTGTATGGCACTGATTAAAAGAGAAATTCTTAACAGTCGCAAAGTCTTGTCCACGAAGTCTTGCACGCGTAATCAGTTCTTGTTTTGCAAAAAGATGCTTTCCAAAATGCGGATTTTTCTTGCTTAAAATGTTAGCTTAAGCGAAGAAAAATTGACACACCTTTGTAACGATTTTCTAAGTTTCAGCCGACGAAGGAATGGGTAAATAAAGTAAACTTGTTGAGTTTTGAACTCGAAAACTTTTTCAAATTCGTGCTTGCGTGATAAGCGCGCGAAAAGCAAAACATCTTGATGCCACAACCATGTTCACATACTCTCATGCAAGCACTCCTCTCGGCCAATCAGAGCACGCGTACTATCTTAGTTATTTTATAAAAAACTTTCTTACCTAGAAAAAAAGGCTCTTAATCCGGACTGTTTTTGTTTTGATTGAAGTTAAAACTGAACGTTTGACGTGATTGTCCATTGCGCAAAAAGTATGTGTTTCGTTTGTAGCATATATTTGCATGTGTCAGCGGTGTTTATTACAAAACAGAAGAGTCTGGGATGGAGTAAAACATCGAAACGAAAAAGAACATTCGAGTTGGTAGAATCCATTGGGAGAAAAGACCAATTAAACATACACCGTCTTTCTAGTTCGAGTTCGTAAGTATAGTCGGAAGTAAGTCAGTTGCACTGTGCTTTGGGTTTTACGGTGCACAGGTGCGATTACACATGACTTTTTAGGCGCACAACCAAAAATCTAGTAGCAAATGCAACCAGTTAGTCGCTAACTTTGAGCCTTGTCTAGCAAATCAAATCAATTGTGCCGGCAATACCACGTTGACAGATTCGTTCGAAATTGTATACCCTGTTTAGGACAGAGAGGTCAAAACCATACCGTAACCCTGTCCAGCGGCACATTCCTGTATAGGCCATATAAGGGAGTACCCCCCTGGCATACAACTCCATGCTTTCATTATGAATATTTATAGAAAATCTGTAATATTCTGATCAAAGGGGGGAATGGGCACACTTGGAATTGTCTGAGCCATAAATCTGTGGGGTTGTATGGAAGTCTTACCACTTTACTTCACATGAACAATATCGAATTCAAATTTAAGCCGACTCAAATTACTTTAGGCTGGGTGACTTGATTCAGAAGCCGATCTTTAATCTAGAGGAACTAACTTCAAAAGGGAAAAAACACACCTGTCAGTAAACGTCATTATAAAGATTTATATGTTTGATTTGACATCTGAATCAAAGCTGTTCCACAGCTGTCATTCCCGGCTGAGCCAGCCATAGAGAACATCTGAGCCAAACTAAATTTAATTAGCTCTTTTGAATTGATTCAGATGCCGTACTTCACATAAATGTAATTAAATGAATTTGATTTGGCCCACCTAAAGTACGGTGTCTGAACCACACTTTAATAGGTGCATTTATGTTTCAGGCCACAGTTGCTCAAAGGTGGATAACACTATCCACAAGATAAAACATTATCATGCAGATACATGTGGGAAAACAATTGTGTTATCCAGTTGGATAGCATTATCCACTTTTTCAACAGCTGTGGCTAGGGCTAGAGCACTCTCCATCCCCAGGCCGGCTTCTTTAGACATGTTAATTCTAGTTATGCTTAATACTGCCTTTTAGATAGTTTTGTTAGAGCCCACTAGACTGCAAGTATTTGTCCCTCTATTTCCCCAGGGATAGTAGATTGAATGCATATAAAAATAACCACCCAGAATTGTGCGGAGATAAATGAAGAGAGAAAATGAGGGACTACAGACTAAAGCCCAGGCCCCATACAGTTGTTCAAAAGGTGGGTAACGCTATCCACTGGATAAATCACTAGTTGGTAAGTATTAGGGAAACCAATATTATTGCACTATCCACTGGATAGAGATTTATTCTCAGGATAGCGCAATCTGCCTTTTGAACAACTGGGGCGAGGTGTCTAACTTTGTGCATTGCTGTAGCCTGAGAAAACAGCTAAAATTAGGCAACGCCACCACTGGTTTTCCCCGCAAATAGATGTCTGAGAAAAGAGTGCGGAAATTCCATACTGATAACGCATCACTACCCAGATCTGGATAGTGCTTCTTGATTGGTTGAAGCAAATTTCCCACGCGGCACAACCAATCAGAAGCACTACCCAATTTGGAGGTGGGGGTACTATGGATTTCAAGCGTCAGGGATGATTGAATGGGGGCAAAGATCCAAACCCCAAAACATCCCTGGATCAATTAACCTGCCAAAAATCCCATGCTGAATTTCCAAGGCTTAAAAATTTCCAGAAATAGTTAAATGATATACAGTGGAACCTCAATATCTCGATGTAACGAACCTCTATATAACGAAGTCCTCAGTGTAACAAACGATTTTCTTCACCCTAGTAATAGTAAAACATATGGAAAAGTACCTCGATATAACAAAACCTCATTATAGCGAACAAATTTTGCCAGTCCGTTGGCACTTTATTATATCGAGGTACACTGTAACACAAAGAAATCTTCAGACAGTTTTCAAACCCCAAAAATTCCCACTTTAATCAAGCCACCCAAATTTTCTGACCTCAAAAAATTGCAGAATCAAAAATTTCAAACCCCCAAAAATCCTTCAATCATCTCCGTCACTTGAAATTTGGAGTAGCCCAGCACCCACCTCCCCCCATCCCCCTCCCCCTCCCCCGCAGGATCTGGGTAGTAATGCATTTCTGCACTCATTTCTCAGATGTCTCTTTGCAGGGAACCAGTGGTGATATTGTGAAATGTCGGCTTTTTTCTCAGGCTAGCGTTACTTTGACAATGATATTTACCACATTTGAAACAATCAATGATTTAACTAGAAACCTAACAAGATATTTGTTTCATTTTCAGACATAACTGTCGGAATTAGCATTGGATTGTTTGTGTTATTTCTTGGAATGGCAATCTTTGTTTACAAACCAAAGAGGAAACGATTTCCTGTCAGAACAGCTTACTGTGAAATAGGACAGTACCAACCCATGCCAGTGTAAATATTTGGGAAAAATGGTCTGATTAAGGACAGTAACCTGATTGTTACTGATTGTCAGCAAGTGAAAGTTATGGAGGGACCAAGGCCTAAGTTATTATTATGAACTTTAAAGTCCACATCTTCCAGTAGTTCTTTAATGGTCATTGATTAAATGGAAGGAGTTCATATTTGAAGAAGATGTCAACACAGTCTTACAGTTGCTGCTTCTGGTGATAGCTGATGTTGCCCTTCCAACACTGTACTTGGGGGACATGTTTCTTTGTCAGAAAGCAGTGATTTTGTCATTTGCAAGTAATTTCTCAAGTTCTTTAGCAGACACCACAGAGATCACAGACTCACTACAGCCTACCAGAAGCCAAATTATACGGATTTGTATAGGAATTTATCGTAAGAGCGATAAAACAGTGAAAATGTACACAAACAACTATTAAAGTATACATACCTCATGAAGAATTGTGTCTGTGTTGCTTTCTTACTTTTTCCTGCCCTGTGAATGCCATCTTAGTAGGGGGAAACCAAAACATTAAAACTTGTTCAAATGGCATTTATACGACAGGAAACAGTAAGATGGTAAGAAACAGTAAGATGTTAGGAAATCTTTACTTCGTTTTCAAGGGCCCAAAGTATTTAATTCCCTTAGCTCTGAAATTCAGAATGCCTCTAGTATTGCTGTGTTTACTTCTAAACTAAAGTCATTTTTCTTGGTATAAGCACCCTTTACTTCTCTTAATACTTGTATGTAGTTTTTCGCTTCTTTCGCTTTTTTCTCGTAATTTTGCACTTTTTTATCTTACTCTTTTTTTTTGTTTTTGGACTTGTACGTTCACCCTTATCTATTTTTATCCTATGTAATTATTGTTGTCTTTGTTGTAAAGAAATTGTATGTGTTTAGGTAAATTGTCTTGCCTATGCCAATATTTTATTTATTAATGAAGTCATATATTTGTAAAGATGATCCTTTTCAGCAGACTTATTGGCTTCCTTGGGCTTCCTTGCCTCATCTTTCTGAATTGTATGTATATATTTAACTTAAATGGCAAAATGATAATAAAGCAAAATAAAAAAAAAACTTTGTCCCTAGGTGTTAGAAAGTTACAAGGGTGAAGCTACAATTGTAGTCAAGTCAAGTAACGTAAATTTTTATCTAACTCACACAGAATATTAATACTATTTACAATGCAGTGCTTTTTAACATAAAATAAAACGATTGTGAAAAAGGAAAGGAAATTCTGTAAATTTTAGGTTCATTGTGCAGAGTTTGGGACACCTAAGACGTTTGTGGAACTGACCAAGTAGGTGACCCAAAACAAAAATACTGGTAGACGAAATATAGTGATAGCTACTTCACCATCGTTCTGAATGTGGCCCAAGGTGACTCCTATGCCTTTGTTAGATGCATCAGTGTACAAATGAAATGTTTCGTGGAAGTCTGGAAATGCTAGAATAGGGGCACTGAAAAATGCACCCTTTAAAGCTTTGAATGCCCGTTCACAAGCATCAGTCCAAACAAATTTGCTGTCCTTGCGCAATAATTAATTTAAAGGTGGCCAAATTTTGGCAAAATCTATCATAAAGCGACGGTAATAGTTAGCTAGACCTAGAAACGATCGCGTTGTTTTAACGTTGTGAGATGTGGAAAATCAGTCTTACGGCTGCGATTTTATCGTCGTCTGGGGCTATTCCTCCAGGAGAAACTACATGTCCTAGGTATTTAACTTATGGACAGGCAAACTTACACTTTGAAGGTTTTGGTCCTAGGTTTGCATGACGTAGTCTATCAAATGCAAATGCTCCTCAAAGGTTTTGAAATGCACGAGGATGCCATCTAGTTAAATCAAGCAACTTTTGAAAGTCAAATTTCGTAAAACACATTCCATTAATCGCTAGTAAGTAGACGGGGCTCCAGTGAGGCCAAAAGGAAGCTCTAAAAACTCGTTAAACCCACCATAAGTAATAAAAGCAGTGCGTCCAGGTGATTAAGGTTCCATTTCAACCTGCCAGAAACCATTCATCAGATCCATATAGCTAAAATACTTAGTACCATTGACAGCATCTAATGCGTCTTCTATTCGAGGAAGAGGATAAGAATCTTTAAGCGTCACTGAATTCAATCTTCCAAAATCAACGACCAATCTATCAGTTTCATCTTTCTTCTTCACCAGAATAATTGGAGATGCCCAAGGGCTTGTACTCGGCCGAATTATTCCTCTGTTCAGCATATCAGTAACATGTTCCTAGATAATACCACGTTAAGCTTCAGAGACACGATAGGGGCGTTGTCTAACAGGTGGTTTGTAACCAATGTCAATGCGGTGTCGCCCAAGTTCCTCGGGCATCAAGGCGACAATATCGCAATACTGAGCAATTAAAGATTTTAGGTTAGATACTTGCTGCTCATCTAAGTTAGTCAATGAAAGATGTTTGTCCTTTTCCTAGTTGTCTTCCTTGTCGTCCTTGTGGTGGTCATGTCATGATCCTTACGGTTGTTTTGGACCTTCTGATCCTTGTGAGCGACATAACTCTGGTTCCGGGCGATATGACTTCGGGCGAGATGACTTTCGGGCGACTTGACCGGTTACCGACCTTTGTACCCGTCTTTGTTCTTACGGTCGTCGTGGTCCTTGATGTCATCGTGATGGTGGTGATCGTGGTCCTTGTAGCTTTCGTGGTCGTCCATTTTTTTTCCATGTTGTTGTTGTGGCAGTCGTGTTCCTTTGGTAGTTATGATCCGTGTGGAAGTTGTCGCCCTCGTGGTCGTTATCTTGGTGAGTTTAGTCTTCGTGGTGGTACTTGTCCTTGTAAGGGTCGCAGTCGTTGTGGTCGTTATGGTAGGTCGACGTTCCTTTCCCCAGTGGTCCTTATGGCTGTCGTGGTTGTCATTTTCCTTCCGATCGTTGGGCCGGTCCTGGTCCTTGTGGTCGCCGTGGTCGTAGCGGTCGTGGTGGTCCTTGTCGTCACGGTCATAGTCCTTGTGTTCGTCGTGGTCCTTTTTGTCGTCGTTGTTGTCATGTTCCTTGGGGATGTAGAGATCATGGTGGTGGTGGTTGTCGCCATGATGGTTGTGGTCGTCAGGGTCATTGTGGCCGTGGTGGTCGAGTTTGTCGTCAAAGGGCAACGCCTCCTTAGGAGCTCTCGCGCACCCGAAATGATCCAGACCTATTTGGTTAAGTTTACAGTATCTTCTCTGCCTACATAGCAAGATAAGTGAGCATCGCCTGTACGTTGATTTCTCTTTACAAGCACTTTTCAATAGTTAAGACATGTATCACTCTCAACTTCTACTTTTGCAGGACACTCTCTAGGAGGTGGATGCGCAAAGCCAATAGATGCATCTTGGCATTTTTCCTTAGAGATTATTGCTCATTGCTATAAATTCATTATTCAATGTTAGTTTGCCTCATGAACGTTGCCTGACAGAGTCAGTTTCACTGGGCAAAAGTGAAAGGAGACGAGGATGCTTTCGTTCGTACTTTCGAAGCTCCAAGCCATTTTAACAAATTTGATGGTTGGGTTTATCTTTAAGGGGTTCGGCTAAACGACCGGTAGAAGCTGGAGCTAGAAAATGCTCTCCATGCTCCCGTGGAAGGTTTTAGAACTTTTAGTCGCGCTTCTCGTTAATGTTTTTTTTTAATCATTCTGAGGGAAATGTTGATTACTGAATGTGAAGCAATCGTTAGCGGCATAAGTTTTGTCGTAGCTGCAAGTTTTAGACGTTAGCAGTTTCAGCTTCGGCGCATCCTCGGAGACCCAGTGGTAGATAGTGGGGGCAAGGGAAAGTCTAAACAGGTGGAAAAAATGGAGCGTAAGAAAAATAAAGAACGGGGATGAGAACGCCATTTTTTTCAGCCCGTTTAGACTTTCCCTTGCCCCCACTATCTGCCCCTGGGTCTACGAGTATGGCTTCGGAGGTATTCCCATGATTATATCATGTGAATGCAGTACGAACTCACTCTGGAACGAAACTCATTCCGGAATGAAAGTCATTCTGGTATCATATAAAAAACAGCCCCTCAGCCTTTTGTTCTATCCAGCTATAGAGCGTTTTCACATGACGTCACTAGCAGCCATATTGGTGTTCCAAAATAGTGAAACGGCGGCCATATTGGTGTTCCAAAGCAGTCCTGTGGGAGTTGATCTCTTTTCTTATGTAAACGCTTTCTTTTGTTCCGATAAATTTTTAAACTCTTAGGCCTGTTTACATGGAGTTGGGGGACCCCAAATAGGTGAGGTAACATATGACGGGTCACCCCACCTATCATGTAAACGCGATCAAATTAAAATGAGAGATTATATGGACAGGCGGGTTACCCCACCTAAGCGGGTTACCTCGCCTACCTGAGGTCCCCAATCTTCATGTAAACAGGCCCTAGCTCTAACTCTAATCGTTTAATCTACAAAAGGGTATATCCCGTCACAGCAGAGGTGCAAATGGACATGTGCCAAAGTTAAAATTTAATCATGGTGCGAGTGTTAAGTAAATGAGAATAATAACAAAAGTTCCTGGGTCAGCGTTTCTAAAGATGGCACGAGGCGGCCATTTTGAAAGACTCCCGTGACTGCTTCAATATATAGGGTAGAAATTGTATAGCTGATAGACCAGAAACTACTTTAAACATCACTGTGAGTCGTGCCACTTTCCTTCTTTTCTCGAGTGCTGGCCATTTCAAATCATTCAGAATTTTCGTGGCAGTTCAGGAGTGGTGCTATATTTATTTTTTACAAACGAGCCGCTCGTCTCTGCACACTCTCAATGTCCTTTATCTTTATTTGAATGCTCGAGAATGTGCGGGTCCCATGCACAACATCCTTATTCAAAGTGGTCTAATTAAGGCAAGATAGGCTTGCTCTTTTACGTTTTCTGGACAGTTATCTAGGTTTCTTTTCATAAAGCCATGAGATCTGTTGGCTTTGCCTATAATTCCAGCAATATGAACATCCCAATTTAGATTTGTTTATTGTGATCAATAGCTTGTAAGAGTTTTCTGTGGATGGAGCATTGGTATTCAACTAGAGATTTCGAGCATTAGACTATTAGGATGGTGCACGTCTTTGCATTAAACGACATTTGCCATGTGTCCGCACAGTGTACAAGTGTGTTTAGGTCTTGCCATAGTGACTAGGCATCATTACCATCTTTGATTACACCATACAAAACTGCGTCGTCCCCGAAAAGGCCAATTTGCGCCTTTGTGTTTTCGCCGATAACATAGGAACATGAGTAGCCATGCGAGCAAGCTCTCCTATTTGGGCGAAAGAAGCGAGTCTCGCGAGTGCGCGTAAGCGAGCGGCGAAGCCACGAGGGACTCTCGCGAGGCTCGCTTTGCTCGCCCAAATAGGGAGTTTACGCAACGACGACGGCGACGGCTACGAAAACGTCACTTAAAAAGTGAATTTGCGCTGCTTCAAACTTTATCGTGCTTATTCCATCTCGTTTAATGTGTCAAATGTTGGCAAATTTGATTGGAGTTGAATTCTAAAGGACTGCATCAAAGTTTAGGAAAAGAAAAAGAAAGTTGTTGTCTTTTGCTCCCGTCCTCGACAAAACGTGAAATTAGGCAGTTTCACGTTGTAGTCGTGCAACGACGGCAGAGAAATGTACAAAAAAGCGTGATGCACGTGCAAAGTTGTTGTTTTGCTTGTGTAAACCTATTGCTTTTTTGCGGTTCTAGATGCCGCCGTCGTCGTCGTTGCGTAAACTCTCTAATAAGAGAGCTTGGTCGCAGGCTAGAACATGAGTGGACCGAACACAGCCGGTCCCCTTGGGCACACCTTATCTCACGGGAATAGTAGATGATGATACACAATTAACAAGCACTCCTTGATGTCAGGTGGTTAGCCATTGTTCAAACCATGTCTTGAGATTTCCGTGAA